CCCGGCACATCCGGCTCAAAGGCCGCTAGTGAGTCAGGAAAATATAGTAAGCTGTTATGACACAGCGGCAAAGTGAACAAGCCTCTTTCTAATCCTGATGCCGAATTCTTCTTCAGATAAGTCCGTTTTTTTTTTTAAATTATCTGCTCAGCATACAGATTGAATAAATGTGGTGCGAGGATACAGAAAAAAGCCCACCACTCAATCTGGAAACCTGGGGATTTGAGTCGCCTCTTCTGCTAGCTAAATGGGCATCCTCCTCCAAGTCTCTCCCCTTTCTGAGCCTCAGTTTCCTCATCTGTGCAGTGGAGAGGATTGGACTAGAGGATCGTTACAATCCAGCTCAGAAAATTATGCAGCCTCAAACTGTGCCTCTTAAATAAGGCTTATTTCTACGTTGGGAATTAAGTGGTAGGCCATGTGGTGGTGCTGACAGTGAGCGATCTGCTTACAGCACCGTCTGAGAAGAGCCATGAAGAGACAGACAGCACCAAGGAGGAAGCAGCAAAGATGGAGAAGGAATACGGAACCTTGAAGGATTCCACAAAAGATGACGACGTCAACCCCGGGGCGAAGGCCGAAGAGCCCAAAGGTATGAGTGGCCGGCTTGCGGGTGGCCATGAAATTGGGGAAGCCAAAAACTGTTGTCCCCCAAAGCCAACCCCACCGAATTGAGAGAAATTAGTATGATCTCTACAGAAAGATTCTGTATCTTTGCTGAGTGGAGTCTTTATTTGCACAGCGCTCTTTTTAAAGGATCATGAGCCTCCTGGAATGGCAAATTGGTTTGATCTCTTGTTGGGATTTAGTATCCAAGGACTTTCGCACTTAGGAGGGGATGCTAACTGCTATTTGTGTTTTATTTGATGCCCAGTTTACCACTTTAAGCAAATCGTTCTTTAAACTTACCACGCCTCTAAATAGCTACATACAACTTAACAGGATCAGACACATTTTCTTAACTATTTAAGCATTGACTGCCAAACACTTTTGAGGACTTAATCAAAATCGCAAATCCAATATATGAACTTTTCTTAAATAATCCAAATACCTCAAAACACAAAAAGAGGTACATATAACCAGCCCGATAATTATAAAAATCGACTCATACCCTTTCATCAAAATCACTCACAAAGATGATAACACGATGGGTTTTTACTTTGTCTCTTGTCTCCTCATTTTACTCTGCCCTCGTAAATTTACACCCACGATTTTCTTAAACTTCATGAGACTTTCAAAGAAAAAGACTGAGGGAGGAGGATGGGAGTTGGATGTTGTTAACCGTTTCATTCCGGGTCAGAATGTGTGCTCTATTGGCAGAGTCCGGCCGTCCAAGCAGCATTTAGAACAAAATGCTACAACCACCCAAATACCCACTGCCAGTGAGTCGATTCTGAATCATCGGGACACTGTGAAAGATTTCCAAAGTTTTGTAACAGCCTCATCACTCTCCTGTGGAGCGGCTTGGGGGTTTGAACTGCTGGCCTTGCAGTTAATAGTCCAACACTCACCCAACAGTGCCATCAGGTCTCTTTTCAAAGGAGGTACATCATAGAAAAAGTCTCGCCCTATCTCTCAGGTTAGCGATTTTTGTTCCAAACCTTGATGACTTCACCAGTTGTGAATGGATGATTTGCATCTGCCTTATGTTTTTGTCGGTATGATATTGGGTTAGGCTGGGTTTCCTCGAGAAACAGAACCAGTGACACTCATGTGTATGCAGAGGAACTTTAAATTGATATATGGATTGTTATAAGAGTGGTAAGAGCCTCCAATAAAGTAATTTTTTTAAAAAGAAGGAACTTTTTATCTAGAAGTAAATGTATATCAAGAAAGCATCCCAGACCAGTCTAACTTAAGTCCATGGGTCTTATGCTAGCCAGGGCTCTCTTCGGACACACATAGCTGCAGGCTGATGATTTATTCAACAAGTGACGGGGAATGCAGGGAGGTCAGACCAATGAGTAGAGTGGTGTGGATCCAAGGTTGGTGGAAACATGGCAGGGCACCGGCGGCTCTCAGGGTTCATTGGCTTTCATGGGGCTGTCCCTGGAGACAGACACAGAATCCAAACAGGAAGGGCGAGAGGCAGGATCCCCATTTTGTCTCTTATTAAAAGGCCACTCCTCCCTGGTGACATCATCAGGCTGCGCCTAATTGACGGGTTGGACTCCACCCCTACATAAGTGCAAGTTGACCTGAACCCTAACTTCCACAGATATATCGACTCTTCAGTATAATAGGAGCCTTACTCGTGTCTTATAAGTATCTCATTAGTAGTATCATGTAGAGGATTTTCTCCCTGAGAGCTGAGGAAGTAGGCTAGTGAACCTCTCTTTCGTAGGAAGAGCAAGAATGAAATTCAACTAATGTATCATCTGAAGACACACCATTGGGGTCTGTTTTAATTGACTATTTTGCATAACCTACCAACAGCCATGAACCGATATGATCGGTTTTGCTTTTTTATCTTTTTGCCACTGATGTTATATGATAATACAAGGGTTAATCAGGCCTTCCTGGTCAAGGCAGATTTTCATTTGGCGGCAGTATTTGGCCCACTGACAAGTTCCCCTACTCAAACTCTCTTACTTACATCGAAACAGGTTTGGGTTCATACTTGATAACAGACCCACGTTTTAACAACATCTATACGGAGGAGACCGAGTGACGTAGTGGTTACGCGTTGGACTGCTAACAACTCACCACTCTGTGAGAGAAAGACAGGGCTCTCTACTCCCCCAAAGGGTGATAATCTTGGGAACTGGCAGGGGCAGCTCTATTGTGTCATAGAGGATCGCTATGGGTCTTTATTGACTTGATGGCAGTGAGTCTGCTTTTGGTGTATGAAGTAGAAAGGAGACTAGCTATGGATTTAATACCTCATAATAATACGAATTATAAATTATTTATTTTTCATGTGACTACTCCCCGCTTTTATGGATTTTTTTACTGAGATTTTGGTGGGAGTGGGGGTTTGCATTTCAGACATCACCTCTGACCATCAACATTTCAGTTCCACTTGTATAAGTTGTTACAGTTGACTAATAGTATCACTGTTGTTGTTTTATGCTTCAAATGGTCACATCTTGGCACCGGTATCTTCCCTAAGTGGCTCCTTTTTGCTTTCAGCACTGCCTCCAAGGGTTTTTAAAGCACCTTTGCTCTCTGGCAACCACCCAAGAGTCTAGACCTACCCTGAATTTTCCTGTCCCAAGCCTTGAAATTAATTCCCTTTCCAGGAGGTCTGAAGCACTGTTTCTTTAAGAAAATGTGATTCATCTTCCAAGGGAGCTTCAAAAGTTTGTGGAAACATGAAATTGAAAGCTAATGGCATTTCCCCACAAACTTTGTCAAGGCCCTGATCTATCTTTGTATTCACAGTTGCCTCATTTACACGCCTCTCAAAGGCTGTTTTGCTTCTCTTTGATAAAATCCAGTGAGCAAACACCTCTTATTTCCAGGCAGGAAAATGAAAGCGCCCACGTGGGGGAAGGCAGGCAGGGCTGGCCCGGCTTCCTGAGTCCTTTCCTTGGCAGCGAATAAACATTTCTTCAGAGAGTATACCTGGCCCTCTGCTCAGAAAGTTGAGATACAAAAGGAAAATATGAGAAGCAATACTTGCCTCGGGTGACTCAAAACACACTTTTAAATGGCCGGAGAATCGTTCTTAACCAATATGTGGTCAAGCCCCGCCCAGATCACACACACATAGACTGGTCCATCCGACTGATGAGCCAGGCGTGTATAGACCAGGCCTGCTTTAAAAGAGAAGTTGGAAGAGACTACAGGGTAGAGTCAGAAGTGAGGCAATAGCCCAGCTAAACCCACTTCGAGAAATAATTGCAAGCAGGACACGTAGGCAGGAAGCTCCGTAGAGCGTCTTCTTACGGTCCTTCAATGTGAGGTGGTCTCATCCAACCACAGCAAACATTTATCAACCATGCCAAGCACTGTGCTGAGCCCTCCGAAGCAGATACATATAATAGCATAGGTGCATGGAATAGAGTTTACATTAAATATAGATATAGCAGCAATACTCTTCATTTATATCACTCCTGAGTTTGTTTACAAAGCAAGTTTAAGTCTATCTCATTCCAGGATAATGTAAACAAACAAACAAACAAACAAAACCAGTTTAATGACCAATAACTAAAAATAATGACAGATTTACAATATAGTTTAAGCAACTAAACTGTTGCTCTCTAGAGGGATATTAAGAGTAGTATTTTTTATGGATTGTGATAAGAATTGTACGAGCCCCCAATAAAATGATTTTTTTTAAAAAGAATAGTATTTTTAACAATGGATGTAGATATGGATTGTGATAAGAGCTGTAAGAGCCCCGAATAAAATGATTTTTTAAAAGAAGAGTATGTTTAAAATATTTCTCAGTGCTACAGTTATTTAATTTAAAAAATATTTCTAAAATTAGAACCCTGCCCACCAAAATATAAGCGTCTCATCCCAACCCTATTTATAAAGCTGCTTCGTTTTTCCAGTTACTTGTCCTCTGGAGACTGCAGAAGAGAGCGCTTCCAAGCTTATTTCCATTATGTGAGAATGCCTCCTTTTGCCAGGGGGTGTTTCCTCGTTTATCGCTGACCCGTGAGTCACGGAAATCTTTTTGTAAGATCATCCAACAGATGGAAAAAGCCTTATGAACTCATAAACACATTCTCAGACTATCGTTCATCAAGATTATGGCTAAGTGATCTTAGCGATCACTTATCAAGGTTATGACGAAAGAATGGAATTAATTTCCTTTACATGTGATCTCTAAGTCGCCTGTCATCTAAATAGCCTTTCACCCTGTGCCGTCTTTTCAGAAGCCAGAAAAGAGACGGTAGCCAGTTGCATGATCTGTTCTTATCTCTTAAACCCGTGCAGAGATGAGGGTGCTGTGCTGAGGTGCCAGCGCGTTGGCGCTGACTCATAGCGGCCCTGTGAACAACAGAACGAGACACAGACCCGGTTCTGCACCATCCTCACAACAGTTGTTCGGTTTGAGCAGCCGCGGTGACAATCCATTTACTGAACGTCTTCCTCTCACTCTGCCAAGCCGGGTGTCCTCCTCCGGGGACTGGTCTCCCTGAAACATGTCTAAAGCATATGAAACGAAGCCTCCTTATACTTACTTCTAAGGGTCATCTGTCCTGATTCCGAGACTGATGTGCTATCAGATGAGAAAACAAAGCTATTTGAGGAGAAAACGGCATACCCCCCTGCAAGTCTCAAGGCATTCTGCTCAAAAGGTCCTAAAATACTGACCTGATCTTCTCATCGAGTTACAGGCTCAGAAACCCACAGGGGCAGTTCTACCCTGTCCTGCAGGGTCGCTGAGTCGGCGTGGACTCAAAGGCAGTGAGATCAGGAGCTAAGCTAAGCTCCCCAGACCCCACCCGCACACTGCAGCACAGGCTTTTCAAGGGCAGCGAGAGATCCTTCCCACATGGAGAGATCTCAAATTCCCTTCTTAGAAATTGACCCCTGAAGTTACAGCTGAATTTATAAACGATAAGGCTTAAAGAGCAATGGCTTACCCAAAATGTCCGAGTCAAAGGATGGCAGAATTGGGCTTTAAACCTGTAT